GTCTCTATCTAATGCTATTATACTTTTACCAACTATGAAGCCAATAGAGTAAATTGTTTCCATGCAAAAACTACCCTTATTAAAATTAAATTTCTCTTTTCTATGTGTAAACAAAACTAATTTAACATTCTCCACATGCTCGAGCAAAATCTTCAAATAAATTATAATATCATCAATATAAACAACTTGTTTTCTCATATATTTTCTCAAAACATTATATATTAAGTGCATAGGTATACTAAGCGCATTAGTTAACCTAAAAGGCATAACAAGTCATTCATACAATCCAAACATAATATTGAAAGTTGTTTTCCATTCATCTCCTACGTGCATTCTAATTTGATGATAGCTAGATTTCAAAATAATTTTTATAAATAGACATGAATCATGCAATAAATCAACCATATCGTCTAACCTAGGAATAGGATGTCGATACTCTACCGTGATTTTGTTGATGACTCTATTATCCATGCATATGCACCAAGTTTCATCTTTCTTTGGCACCAATAAGTCTCGTATAGAACATGGACTCAAACTTTCTCGTACATAGCCCTTCTCCATGAGCTCCTCCACTTGCCTTTGAATTTCTTTTGTCTCGGTTAGATTGACTCGATAAGCTGGCTTATAAGAAATGATAGTCCTTGGAATGGTCTATTTTATGTTCAGCACCTCTAATGGGAGGTATTTCTTTATCTTGAAACATGTCTTCAAATTCTGTAAAAGAGATTGAAAAACACTAGGCAAAGCCAAGTTGTTATAGTTAGAGACCAAAAATCCTCCATTGTACATGAGTACAAAGATTGATTTTTGTGAAAACCTTCTCACCTCTCGAACGGTAGCCAAATAACTATCTCTCTTTATTTTTTCTTCAATTTCATTCTTCTTTTTTTCTCTTTGATTTTTCTCTACTTTTTCACTCAACTCTTGTTTTTCTTTTAACTCTTTTTCCTCAAACTCTTTCTTTCTTTCCTCCAACTTTAATTGATCGGCAAATACATTTGCAGAACTCAAAGGTACAAGAGTGGTTTTTCTACCATCTTTTATAAAAGAATACCTATTCAAATAGCCATCATACATAACCCTCCTATCAAATTGCCATGGTTGGCCAAGCAATATGTCTCCAGCATGCATTGGTAACACATCACAAAGAACTTCATCTTTATATTTTCCCAAAGTAAAAGATATTAAAGCTTGGGAAATTACCTTCATTGTTCCACTATCATTGAGCCATTGAAGCTTGTATGGTTTAGGATGATCTTGAGTTCGAATTTGCAATTTTTTGATCAACATAGTACTTACTACATTGGTGCAACTTCCACTATCAATGATAAGACTACAAGCAGTCCCCTTGACTAAACACCACGTGTGAAATAGGTTGTCTCTTTGATCATCGACATCATTCTCCATAGCTTGAGTTTTAAGAAGTGTTCTTGTAATAAGTGCCAATTGAATACCATCTTCCAGTTTCTCCTCATTCTTCTAGACTTCTTCCACTAGATCATTGATTTTCCCTCCATTTTTCTCGTCTTGGTTCATGATTGTACAAACAGTAGTTTTATATGCTTAGGACCCCACACACTCAAGTCACTGATTTTACACTAAGGAACACTCGTGTTTAACACACAAAGGTAGGCTATTTAGGAAAGTGACTAATTTCTGATCAAGGTAGGTAATATGGATAAAGCAATTCTGATAGTAGCGAGCTATACAAGACAATCAAGACAAGGTAATTATGTAGTAACAATAAAATAAAACAAGAAATGAACAAATAAATAAGGGACAAAGAATGGTTGAGAAGATCGAACACAATAATTCCAGATTTATATCCTTTAGGAAAAAATGAAAATTGAAATTTATTTGATCTTCAAATAAACGTGCAAATGTTCTAATGATAAGGATTTATTAATGTAACGACCCGGGAAAGAAAGAAATATATATATATATATATATATATATATATATACATATAATAAAAATAAATAAATTAATAAAATAAAGTAAAAAAAAAAAAAAAAACTCAGTCGCCGGAAAACCCGCGAGTTTTCCGGCGACCGCCGAGTTTCGCGGAACCCACGCGAAACGACGGCCACAGCACGCCACCCTCAGCCCATGACACCCAGCATCTTCAGAACACCTACAAAGGGGAAAAAGAGAGAAAATTTCGAGAGAGAGAGAGAGAGAGAGAGATTTCGGACAAACGTTGGCGAGTGTCCAGTTTCTCCGACGAACCCTCAAACCGACACCAAACGACTTGTTACCACCATAAGAGGGATCCCTAACGAAAGCACAATATCTCAGGGTGCGTTTTGTGTCATTTCATAAGCGTCGTCGTCGGTAACCGAGGTCGGAAAATTAGGTTTCTTAATCGATTCTTAGATCTGTGGCTTTTAGGAGCTTTTAGGCCGCAAAACTCCCAGAAAGAAAAGAAGGACGAAGAACAAAGAGGAAAAGGGAAGGAAGAGGACCAAAATCGGCAACGGAAATGCAGCGGGAAGGAGAGAGAAAGCTCGCCGGAAAATCGGCCGAAGTCGGGTAAGGAAGACGAGATCCACGGATCCGGGTCAACCCGAACCCAGAACCCGGGAGAGCCAGCCCGTTCCTCCCTTGGCCTCTGCCTTTGGCCCAGCCCAACTACAGCAGCCCAAACCTCAAACCGGCCCAGAAGCTACGGTTCAGTTGAACCAACCCAGACTAGACCCACGGTCCAATTGAGCCGGCCTGCAAACCAAACTCCTGCGGTCCAGCCCAGTAAGCCGAGGCCCAACGATTAGTCTAGGCCTAATAGCCTTCCACAGCCCACGACCCGAACCACGACCCGAATCGGACTGCGACCTGCGCTTCGACCCGACACTGCCGCCCGACGTGGCTTTCTCTGCTACTGCCACGTGTCACACAGCGGCGCAGGCAATCCCTCAGCTCGGCTCGGCGCAAATGGCTCGGGCTCCCTCCAGCGACGCAACGGCGGCTGTTCGGCTCGACTCACCTATTTTCAGCCCAGTTTCTACTGTTTCGACCCTCCCGAATCTATTTTTGACCCCGATTAAGGTATCCGAGGCCATTTCAGAGCCGTCTTTCACATTTATTAAATTATAGGTAAATTAATTGTGAAATACTAACGGAACGTGGTGGATGGTGTGTTAGGAAACAAACCCCGGGGACGTAGGGAGCAGCTCTCACGGAACGGGAGCTTACGTTTAGCGATTTAGGGAGTACTTCGGCCAAGGCCAACCAAGTAAGTGGCCTTACTATAGGATAGGCTAAATAATTGTATGATGCTTGATGTTATGTGCCAGTGTATACATATTTTGTTGAGTGACGCTTGATATGTTTGACGCACGTTGTGGCATTATGATGAACATGATGATTGCATGATTTTTTCCATATTGAGCATGCTAGATGATGATGAGTGCCATATTGCATCATGTCGTTAGATCGACGTAGGACACAACCCTAAGAGCATGAAAATGATAGTAATATAAATATCCACGAGTATGCGTTACC